ATAGCAATAAACAAAAGTATAAAATTTAAATAAAACCACTGTTTTTGGAATGATCTGTTGCACCCATTAAAATCACTTTGTGGAAATTTAAAGTCACGCGGTTGGCAAGGACCTTTTCTCAAATAACGTCTCCTCAACTCATCTCTAATATTAACATCATAAGTCTCAATCGGCATAACTTTTCTGTCCAGCACTTTTCTGTCCGAACGCCGTCCGAACACCGGCGTTTGGGGCGGTTCCCGGCGGAATATTTTGATGAAAGTTTTTGAGCATGTTCCTCATCAAGTCTAGTTTATCCATACCAAACTTCAGCTCAAAATTCGATCGGGAAGGCAGTCAAATAATTCGTTGAAGTTAACTGCGCCAAATTATACATAGAAAAACGCAGTTAACTTCAACGAATTATTTGACTGCCTTCCCGGTCGAATTTTGACCTGAAATTTGGTATAGATAAACTAGACTTGATGAAGAACATGCTCAAAAAATGTCATCAAAAACATGCACCTGGAATCGTCCCAAACGGCGGTGTTCGGACGGCGTTCGGATCGGAAGATGCTGGACCTGAGAATTTTCCAATATATATATATATATATATATATATATATATATATATATATATATATATATATATATATATATATATATCACCGCAGGGGCACGGGCACCCCCTAGCCCTAGGGTGGGTCCGCCCCTGCCAGTGGTAATCCCGTGGAGGTCGGACTCTCCATAGGGCTTAAGAACAAGTCACAAAGGCCCGAACAGGAGGATCCTGGTCCATCATATTTATCTGATTATATTTATTTGATAAAATTTTATCTAAATCAATTTATCTAATAAAATTTTATCTGATTAAAATTTATCTGATTGAATCTATCTGGTAAAAATTTTATCTGATTATATTTAACAATATCTTAAGACACAATGGGAAAGATGTGTACCAATATGACATTAGTAATTTGATTCAATACAAATATCCAACAGACTATACACAATAAAATTACTAGGGTCCTCTCCTTCTAGCACGCATCACCATTTCATTAGTAATTTTTGTGTTGTTTGAATATTGGAATTAGTAGTTTAGTAATTTCGAATTTATGAATTTAGAATTTTGGAATTTTAAATTTAGATTGTGAAATTGGAATTTTGGAGTTAAAATTAGCTATCAAATTTTAGAAACTTAGGAATTGTGTTAAAATTAGAATTTTGGACATTAGAGGTGGTTATTTTAGTAATTCTTAAAATTTTAAATTTAGATAGGGAAATTGGAATTTTGGAGTTATGAAATTGTGTTAAATTCTATAGCTCAACTCTTTAATTTGACTTCGATTTCGGTTTTTGGAGTACTGTCTAATCATTAATAAATTACATTGAAAACTACATTTGTTTTGTTCACTTCCATTAAAATTACAAAAATTGCACTTAAAACAAAATCAAATTTGTATCTCATTTTACGAATGGATTAAATCAAAATTGCACTTAAAATTACAAAAATTGCACTTAAAACAAAATTCACAATACAAATGGATTAAAAAACAATATAAAACAATCAAATATTTTGTTACTCAAAAAATCAAAACTTTAATTTTCGTTTTAAAAATTATGACAGGAATTTAAAAAAACTTTTAGATTTGGAGTTGATAGAATTTAAAACGATAGTTTTAAAATTTTAAAACTATCCATATCGGAAGTGTCCAAAACTTTAGTTTTAAGAATTCCGCCAAAAAATAATATAAAGTTATATATATCCCTCTCGGAAGTGGTTAATCCGACAGGAGGGAAGATACTTTATTAAAACGTGTTCAGACTCCCGTTTTTGGTAAACCCTAAAAAAATCCCTGTATTTTGGCAACCCCATCTAAGTTTGCCCGTGTTTTGGTAAAAGACCCCATGTTATACTCAGTCATTTTTATTTAAAGTGAAGTGCATGGCATGTTATACCCGGCCATGGACCATTACTCGCGGACATGTCAAGCACTTTGAGATTACATAGAAATAACCAATAATAAAATAATTAAATGACATTGTACTGTAGTAACTATTAGTCATATTTGTGTAAATTATGTTCAATTTTTAAAGATAAGTGACTATGATACTATTGTAGTAACTATTGTAGCAACTATTAGTCATATTTGTGTAAATAAGTTTTATTTTTATACTCCTTAGGTATTTTAGAGATTTCTACATTAGCTTTTGCCCAATATTTCAAAAGAAAAAATAGTAAGGGTGATGAATAGTGTACAAAAAATAGGAGAGAAAGTTTGAAAATATGAAATAGAAGATAAAAATTTAAAAGTAGAAAAAGAAAGAGTGATTGAGTATTTTCTTTAAAGGAAAATTTACCAAAAAGGGAAAATGTTGCAAACTTTGAAATTACATCCCAAAAAGGAAAGTTTTGCAAAAAAAATCATCAATAATTTAGATTATTGTGAGTTGACTGACCATAATTGAGATTTTATTTTCATTTTTTCCGCGGTGTAATGAGAATAGAGTTGTAAATACAGTGTACTATGATTATAAAGTTGAACATGATTGTAAAGAATTTATGGAGTAGATAGTCTTAGAGATGAACATGATTGTAATTTTTAAAATATAGAAACTAATCTATATGTACATGTTAAAGTTTGTAGTACAAATAATAGTTTATACTCCGTATTAATTACTTTTTATGTTACTTTATTTTACTATCAATTACATGGAGCCTAAAGTAACATTGTTGAATGTTTGCGATTTCTAGAATATTTATAGAAACCAATTTATATCTACATGGTAGAAATTTACTAACAATTAATAATATACAATATTAGATAGGTGACAACTCCGGTACTCATTTAAAAAATGGGGTACCGTACCTACCACTCACTTGATTGGTTCAAATCATTACATCATTTTTAATTTAGATTTAAATAATTCAACTACATCATTCTGATTGGTCCATGTGTACAAAAGTATGGTACCTTAAGGGTATCATAGAATCTACCTATTAGATATTATACCATTTATGTGGAGTAGAAGTAAAATTGATGAAACAAGAGAGTGAATGAGTGTTGTAAGAGTGACATGTGGCAAAAGCTTCCATCAATATGACTCTTAAATGTATAATATATAGAATATAGATATAGATGTAGATATAGATGATGGTTCAACCTGAATTAAAATATTCTTTTATTTTATTAGATGTTCACTTAATTAAGTTAGAACTTTGATGTTTGAAGTAATTGTGTGGAACGAAATGAATTATGTGATATTTATTGAGAACTAGTCCCAGGCCTAGGGCATCCTCGTAAGAGTTGGTTTGATAACCTCTATTTCAGTTTATCAGTTTCGCATGTTATATCGTGTAATTCGAGAAATCATTTTTCTCAAATTAGAGGATGAATTGAATTTGCAATTTTATAAACAAATTTGGTCAAAATGCTCTAGTTCATAATAATTGCAGATGACAATACGATATGTACGAATTTAATTCCTAGGATATAGTCTACGTAGTACGAAGTATTACGTATTACTATCCTCCATGCTTCTCTTAACACACAATAAAATAGATGGACATATATAAAAGAAAAATGGAATCCGGCCAATATATATTATACTCCCTGTGTCCCATAATTAAAAAAAGGAAAGAAGAGATAAATTTGGGACGGACCGAAAAGGAAAGAATGAAGATAATTTCGGGACGAAGGGAGTAATAAAAACGGCTATGGGGTAGGGATGATGGGGTGAACCCTTGATGCGGCGGCAGCCACAGAAATCATGCGCTTTCGAAGCATGATTTGTTTATACAGCACATACACAGTCAGGAAAAACAATAAACCCAAAAGAATTGAAAATGTGAGGGGAAGAGCCTTCACTGCCTTTGCGCGAATCATGCCCAACGCCAAGGAAGCGGATGCGGCGGCGAACTCGAACCCAAGCACCGCCAGAATAGAACAAGCCGGTAGGCGGTGCAGTTTGGCTTCATCAACCGTGACGACGTCTTCGATCGTTTTGATCGAGCGCTAGGGTTAGCAGATTGAAAAGCGTAGGAGGAGCTTATTTGATACCACCTATATGATAGAACTTAGAAGCGCCACACGCAGTAATTGTTTTTAATCGCAGGCGCTTGGTTCGTGAAGCGCCGCACGCGTGATGATCCGAAAAAATTAAAAAAAGGTTTGGAGGCGCTTCTTCCGTAGAAGTGCCGCACGTGTCCCAAATTGTAAAATAAAATTGAGAGCGGAAATAAGTTTGGAGGCGCTTCGGACTAAACAAGCGCCGCACGGATGCGAAAAAAATTAAAATTAAAATCATACAATCAATAGAGGCGCTTGTATATATAAGCGCCTCAAATGAAGCGCCTCTGTTTGGCGTTTTTTCACCAGTGTTAGCTACTTTGATAATCAGATGCATGACTAAGTCCTGGACAAATTATTCATGGTTGTTAAAGATAAAACTAAGTGATTTTTTGATATTCGATCCAGGTTTGCTAAATTTTCGTTTTTTATTTTTATTGGTTTACCACACTTTTTGCAGCCATATATCTCTGATTTTGTAAAGTTAACTTCTTGTAGTTGACTTATTTTGTGAAATCATTTATGCCTCAAAGGGTTAATAAAGAGACATGTAAGAAGCTTCTTAAAGTTTTGGCACTAGGTATATTGACCCAATTGCGCGCGTCCAGACAAGCTGAACTTTGGTAATGCAATTTTTATCCTTCTTTTTATGGATATGTAACATGAAATTTTTCCAGTAAGTAATAATTGTATACTAATAGAATTAAGATATAATTACAATCAAAGACGTGCATTATCAAATGTGAAATATTGATCGTTGCAACATGTCAAATATATTGCGTATTAGTTATGAGTCTCCTATTTTATCTCACGTATTTATGGTATAGAGGTTTTCTAGGAAAGGTAGTTATCTTATTTTCCTGGCTCTACGCATGATAGTATACACGGCTCTGATCTTGTGTTAATAAACGGCAGAAGAGATTTGCTTCTCTTAACGCACAATTCTTTCAGCAGAGATACACTAAATTTGATTGAAATACGGAGTATGAAAGCAAATAATTGAGACAATAAAATAGAAAAATGGAATCCGGCCAATATATATAATAAAAACAGCTATGGGCTAGGGATGATGGGGTGAACCCTTGATGCGGCGGCAGCCACCGAAATCATGCGCTTTCGAAGCATGATTTGTTTATACAGAACATACACAGTCGGGAAAAACAATAAACCCAAAAGAATTGAAAATGTGAGGGGAAGAGCCTTCACTGCCTTCGCGCGAATCATGCCCAACGCCAAGGAAGCGGATGCGGCGGCGAATTCGAACCCAAGCACCGCCAGAATAGAACAAGCCGGTAGGCGGTGCAGTTTGGCTTCATCAACCGTGACGACGTCTTCCAGGGCGACCTGCCCTTCCGCCCACCACGAGCTCGGCATGGGAGGGCACATCAGACGCCACAGGATCACGGCGCGTTCCAACTGACGCTCCACCGGGAGCCCACGCGCTTGCATCGCCGCCTTAACCGCAAAGAATGCCATTGTGTCCCATATCCCGGCATATAAGGCCATGGCAGGTATGGTGTAAATCGCGTCCTCTATCTCATAATAATCAGGACCTACCGCAGCAGTAATTCCCATACATACCGCATTAAGCGTAAGCACCACGCCGACCACAATCACCCCCCATATAATTGACTCCAGGGTAGGGCCTTCACGATAACGCGCCGCCGCCGCCAGCTCTTCTCTCACATGCAGCATCCTTTCTGCACTCGACCTTATGATCGATGATATAATTTAGGTGTATACTAGCTGGTTAATTAAAATCTAGCTAGGGTACGTGTTTGCTTAATTGGTTTTCTTTATTTATATACTTTTTCTTTAGTATACCACGACGGAAAGGAGTGTATGTATTAGGATTCCAACATTCCAAAATTCTTTAATACTCCACTACGTATTACATGAGGTATTTGTTTTGAGTTATTAAAATAGGACTAAAAGTCACTCACATTGCATAAATATATAGGACCAAAAAATAAATTATGTTTTCATAGGACTAATTATGTGTGTTTTGAACAAATATACCCTTATAGCTATTGAAATGTTTTAAATTAATAATAAAATAATAAATAATAATAATAAATTGTAAAAAATACTAAAAAAATTAATAAAAAAAATTCGATAATAAAAATTTAATTATTTTTTTCAAAAAATTAAAAAAATTAAAAAAAAAATAAACAAATTAAAAAACTCAAAAAAAAAAGAAATAAAATTGCCGCCATCTCTGTCGCTTCAGCAGCACCACCTCCAGTCACCAGGGGAAAAAATGTCAAGTTCGTTACGAATGCCATATTTATGGTAGAAAACAATGAAAATGTTGGCATTCATTTTCGTGCAAGGCTATTAATAGATTTAGGTTCATGTGAGAACTTAATCTTATGAGAGCAAATTAAAAAAATAGATCTTAACCATTGAATTGCAATATTAAAAACATTACTACGTATTTACTTATTTCGTGCAAGGCTAAAGATGTAATCTCAAAATTCTTTCCATTCTCCGTATTATCCTAAATTAATCACTTCTCTAACTTTTAGCACATCATAACTCTCTCTACTTCTTTCTAGTATCTCCATCATCTTTTTTTTTCTTTTTCACCATTACAAAAATCAAACAACCTTCATTTCTTCACCATAACAAAAACTAGTTGACGAACATGCTTTTTTTCCTGTAAAAGTTGACGAACGTGCTTATGTTTCTGAAATTGTACTTCCGGCATTTATTTATTAATTTCTAATTCAAATTTTTTGTTTTGTTATGCTCTGCTTTTGTGAGTATAATTTTATTTAATTCGATGTCACGATGTAACTTAAATCGATCACATACAACTGCACTAACATAGATTAATAGATGCACAATCAAAAATAGTTTGACTTTTAGATTTTTTTTATATATTTTCTTGTTATATACATTTATATTTGGGGTTATGTTTGTGTTTTTTCCTCTGAGTATGTATGTTGTTACTTCAATGACATACTAATGCACTTGTAGGCCGGTATATTTTCATGTTGTGCGTTTGGTATTAGTTGCACTTTTTAATGGCTACTTTTTTGCATTGAGTAATTGAACCTTATTCCTTTTTTTGAACCTTATTTCTTATATCATTTGATGCAATTATATATGTTTATTTTTGCATTTCCCATACCTTGGTTATGCATTTCGTATTTTTAATTTTTTTGCAAATATGATGCGTGTGAATGGAATAATTATGATCTTTTGGAAGAAAGAGTGCAGTGAAATCTATAAATATTAGCAATGTCAGAATGTAGAAAGTGTTGTGCCCGTAATAGGTCAAGCGTTGGAGTTGGAAGAAGAAAACCAAGTGTTGTGTCTTGCAGAGCTGAGGGTAGCCTTCGCCGCGTTTGGGTCCGCCTTGGAGTCTCGACTGTTGATTGGTGGAGGTGATGTCTGGGATACTGTGGTAGATTCGTTCTCGCCAGCAATTGAGTCGCTGGTCAACGATGAGGTTGATGATGGACTGGGAAAGGACGAAAGTACCAATGGTGGACAGGCTGTCCATTCCTACGCTGGTCAAGGAGACACGCGTCCTTGGTAGGGGTGAAGGTGGCCGAAAACAAGCCTCCCTCCACCGGCTTCCGGCGGTAACCTCTCCCTCCCTGACGTATTTGACCATTGAACGACGTAGTGAAAAGATATAAAGGGTGTTTGGTTAATGGCCTATCAACCACTTTTTGGCTGATTTGACCATATTTTAGCCTTTTGACTTGGACAAACGGCTACTTGAGGTGTTTGGTAAATGGCTTTTACATTTAGCATCTTGACTCAAATAGCCAAAATATAAAATGCTAATAATGATAGCTTTTAGGATTTGGCCGATCATTTTAAGTACGAGATTCCCTATTCTATCCACGTAACTAAGAAAGTGTAGACTCTTACGAATTCTCCTCAAATAACGATGCAGCTCGCCAGACACTCTTTTCATAATTGTTTTTCTTCTCTCACGCCAGACTTTCCCAATACTATTACTCCCTCCGTTTTTAAAAGAAGTTCCTCATTTGACTTCACAGGTTTTTAGGTAGTGTTAAATTAATGGTTGACTTTCCAATATTGCCCTTGATGGGATGTGGGCAACCGAAATGGGGAAAACAATTAAAAAGGGTATGAATAGTAACAAATGGTAACTCTTTTCTATTCAACTTCAAATAACATCATTAGCAATCACATCAAGTACTCATTACAACAATTAGAGAACTACTCCTCTTGGTTTAAACCACACAAAGAGCAACCCAAAAAATTTAAAGTTCCCTCCACACATTACTATTCAAGCCTAATTTTTACATTCCCTCCTTTTTTCAAACAACAAAACTCTATCTATAAATAGAAAACATTAATGGCATGTCTTTACTCCTATCTACTTCTGCCCCTTTCTGGCCGGCTCCCACCACATGGATCTCAATCTGCCACCCTCAATTGATTCCCCTCTGGCAGCACTTTTTTATTCAGAGCAACCTGCAGAAGAAGAAATTAAGAATGAGGAAGAAGGAGAGGATGCAACAATTAACAAAAAATGGCCAAAACTAACTGATGTCCAAAGAAGAAAAATCAGTGACATAATGTTAACAATTATGTGGACGGGAAACTTCAGAGGGGCTTATTGATTAACACAGCGAGGGAATTTAATGTTTCCACCAAGACTATGCAAAAGTTGTGGAACAAGGCACAACAACTGACAGCTGGGCTTGGAATTAATGTTGACAACATACCAAAGGGACATGTGAGCAGAAAACCAATCCAATATGACTTGGAAAAAATTTCAGACATTCCATTCCATCACAGGAAAAATATGAGAGCTTTAGCCTTTGCCATGGAAGTGTCCCCCATAACAGTTCACAGATGGTTAAAGGGGAAAAAGATTAAAAGACATCAAATGCAATAAAACCTCTTTTGACAGATGCAGGAAAGGTTAAAAGGTTAGAGTTTTGCTTCAGTTTTATAATTCCAACCTCATTACCCTTGACCCCCACATTTCATGACAGTTATGACTAGATACATATGCAATGGTGAGAAGTGGTTCTATTTGTCACAAGAAACATCCACCATTTTGTGACCTATGTAACACAAGATGGTTGGAATATTCAACTCAGCTGGTATCAACCACCCAATAGTCCTGACCTAAATGTCTTAGATTTGGTTTTTTAGAGCAATAGACTCCATCAAAGAACAGAAGGCCCCCAGAAGCATAATGGGGTTAATACATGCAGTGACCAGTGCATATGAGGAGCTGACACCTACTACACTCAACTAGGTATTTCTAAGCTACCAATATGTCATGGAGGAAGTCCTTAGAGATAATGGTGGAAACAATTTCAAGTTGAGGCATGTAGGGAAGGACAGATTGCAAAGGTTGGGATTATGACCTAAGAATGTGCAAATTACACCTGAACTGTATCAGACAACTAGAGCAAGTATGGATGCACATCTGACAACTACCACACTGATAAGTCTGTATTTAGACATGCATTTGATGCGTGTTGGGATCAGTTTTGATGGTTTTCCCTAGCTTTAAGGTGTTACAAGTCTCAATTTTAGCTCAAATTATGTTTACCGGGCGTTGGTTCGAGTTTTGTGTCATTTGGAGTCAAAATCAGGATTTTAGAGTTCGGCACTGGCACTTGAGGAGAAATCAGGATGAGTTGAAAAGAATTTGAGATTGATTTGAGAGCTATGGAGGTCAGCAAGAGGTTTACGATGAAGATTTGATGACAAAAGAGCTCTAGGATTGACTTCGGGATCAAAAGAAGATGAATGAAGCTTGAAAACGACGATCAGGACGACCTTCTGTCAATCATTCACGAATATCTCTTTGTAGAAACAACTAATGGACATGAATCAAATTGTATATGAAATACAACTTCAAGAGCTATAAATCATATGAAGACACCGTTACGAGAATAGGAGAGAAAGAAGGTGAAAACAGATGACGAAGTCAGATGATCTTTGCTGCGATTTCAGAATGACACCTTCCACCGTTTTGATCATATCTCTTGATTAGATGATTCAAATCACATTCGGCAAGTTGATGTGGATAGAGGACTTTATTATCTAAAACATTCATGAAGGAAGTTTTGTCAAATTCGAAATAGAGAAAAGGCTGAAGAACACGGACGCACGACCGTGCGTCTGGGACGCACGATCGTGTGTAAGAGCCAAAACCGGGGAGGAGCTACTGCCTGCCAAGCACGATCGTGCGTAGCCAGGGACGCACGATCGTGCGTAGCCCCGAGTTACGCGCGGAAATCTCCCACGTCGACCAGAATTGTGATTTTTCCCCCTCTTTTCTATAAATAAGGCCTCCCTAACCCATTTTAGTGGTCACGAACATTACAGAGAGGCCTAGGGACGAATTTAACACCGTTTTTACGCTATTTTCTTCCAAGACCCTGGGATTATTTGTAAGTTCATCTTTTTAATTAATGACAATTTATTCTATTTTTCCCAATTCTGTTGATTCTTCAATTATGAATTGTGAGTAGTTTAATTAGGGATTTGGGATTGATGAAGGGGTTAATCATGATTGATGGCTAGATTCTTTTCGTTTTAATTGCATGAATGTCGTTTAATTTGTGTTTGAATAATTTAACTGATATCTTTTGTAACCTGGAACCACGGCTAGAATTACAATTGCACATAGAATAAATTAAGAGAGATCTGGTTTATTCTAGGACACATTCACACACACTTAACCGTTTGCTAAGAGATTAGTAGCGATTAAGGGGCTGTAAGCTCGTTCGTCTTGGCAATAATTTAGGATCCTGTCGCATGAGAGATCAGTCTAGTCCCCTAAATTATTTTACTCTACGCCGCGAGAGCGGTAAGAACTTAGTATTGATTAGCTAGGCTCAATTAAATTTATTTCATGTAATTAGGCCTGATCTGCCAGAACTCTG